TCCTCCCACCTGAGCGTTGAATCTCTGCCACTCCTCCATTGTCACCCCAGTCCTCTCAGCTGCTTTCCTTGCCGAATGCTCTCAATTAAGGTGTGCCTTCATGTCTTGGCCTGCTTTTAATTTTGCCACAGCTTCAAATCTGACCTCCGTTTCATCTTCATCTTCTTCTTGATAATGTTTATGTTAATAATCTAAAGATCTTTCCTAACAGGGGAAGTGAGCTCTGCGGGCAGTCGGACAGAACACATTTCACTCTTTCACCAAGATGTGCTAAAGCGAAGGGAGCTCCACACGAATCCTCTGTCAGCCTGCAGGAGAACATTTCAGCAAATCATAAATTCTGAAGGGTATAAATGACGCGTTTGACTCGTTTTCAGCACGTTTTCTTGTTTCTGACGAGGAAAACGTCAGCAGCAAACCGAATCGGCTCCTGCGAAACAAACACTGGATTGTGGCCATGTTTAGTCTCTCCTGCGCGCCCAGCCGCCCCAGTGTGCTAATGGGTGGAGGCAACGTCCACTGTGGACAGAGACGAGGGCAGATAAGGAGTGTCTGAGACGCTTCAAGGATTCTTTCTTTTAGTTTTGCGCCGAGGCTTCCCTTCTCCTCTTTGAGCTGATAGAGAGCTCCTGCTAAACAAAGTTGAGGCAAAAACATGTCGGATCGGTACAAAGGACCCCCGCTGCTTGGTAAAGCCCTTCACCTTTTCTCCTCGGTGGTGATTAACTACTTCTCCACACTTTTGACAGTCGGGTTTGCTCTGTCATGCGAGCCTGCTCTCAATCAAGAGGCTGTTGGCTCTGGGAGAGCAGGTAAGGTATCCATCACTGTGTCACGAGACCGATTCAGGAGGAGGCATTTCCCACTTGAACAAGACAGGAAGCTCATACTAAATTTCACGCTGACAGACGGAGAGTTATTCTTAGCCAGAATTTTCAAGAAAGCAAGCCGTTCGGGGCTTTTTAACTGGCCTTTTTTTTTTTTTTTTTGCTTTGCTTTTACTCTGCAGCTGCTGGACCAGTTGCAGCCGACCCGTGACCTTTATTGGGTTTGGTAATGCGTAGCCAGGATGGCAGCAATCAGACGTACAGGTGAGGTCGATGAAAGCGATTGATGAAACGGAGCACCGGAGCAGAACTGGAGGGACAGTTTCTGCACATGCTCCCTAAGGAAGCAAAAAACATTTTTACTTCAAGACCATTTTTTTAAGGTCTTGAAAAAAGCTCAAAGTGAGTTTTTGAGAACTCATTCCAAATTAATAAATTTCTGACACCTCGTGACAAAGATGCGCCGGCATCTTCTGAGAGCGGCGCTCGGAGATAAAGCCAGGGAAACCTTTTCATTCGGCAGGCATGGTGGCCCTCGGATTCTCTCTGGTGCCGCTTTTTCTTCTCGTTCTCAATTCTCCCATCTCTTTCGGATTCCGCTTCATTCGCGTTTAGAACGAAAAGACAGTTTGCGTCACTCAAGGAAGCCTCGGCAGAGTTCATCTCTTCCTGTCTCTCTCTACACCTCTTTCTCTCCGACAGTTTGCTGACTCATTTCAACTATTCATATTACTTTGCCATTCATGCTGCGTTCATATATGTTCAAAGACTTTACGTGTCTTCTACGTGATCCTTTATGCTCTCAGATCTAACGGAAAGTAAAAATTTTCGGGCAAACAATTTCAGTTCACCTGTGGGATCAGCGACAGCGTCTCCTTTGTGGAATGTATCATTATATTTGGTGTCTTTTGAATAATTTTCAATACCCCAAGGTCACTGACTACCCAAAGAGTAGACTGAATGTTTACTTTGGATCCAGGGTTCCTTCAAAACCTCTTGAGAGTTTTCCCCCTGCGGTGAAGACGTCATGTACTCCCCAAGTGAAAATCCTCTTCTTCTTGTAGGCCTTAAGGGGAGTTAATGCAGTGCATTCTGGGATTTATAGTTCTGTATATATGCAATAAAGAGACTGACATACAAATCTGGGACCCAGACATCCTTCATCTCTGGGTCCCAACATCACTGAAGTGACAATTTGAGATGATATCCAAGTTTCTTCAAAGCACACGCAGACACGGGGGGATATTCAGTTGTGAAAAAGCAATCAGTTTGAGCAAACAACATGGCAGATTGATTACCATAACAGGCTGCGCGGCGTTGAAGTCGGTGGCAATGCTGCCGTGCAGCAGGAAGTTCTCCGGTTTGAATCGGGTTTTTCAGCATGGAGTTTGCATGTTCCCTTGTGCATGGCTGGTTTCTCTCCACGTTCTCTGGTCCAGAAACAGAACTGCGAATTCAACTCTAAGTTGCCTTTACACATCGGTGTAAAGGCAAAAAATGTCAACAAAAGAGATGAAACTCATCATTGTCTACAGTGTCAAGGAATGAACATCCCAGGTTACAGGAGAAGTGACATATGAGAGGTACATGTATATGAAGGCAAAATGCATAATCTTGATCACATGAGACTTCATCTAAACAGGCCCATGATGTGCTAGCTGCATGAGCGTCTTAGGTATTTGGGGCATGACCACAAACCGAGTTGTATGTCTATCTTAGTGATTCGCTCTCTGCGTGAGGCTCGTTTCTAAATCTCACCATCTGACGCTGGACGCAAATGCTTTGCTTATGAGTTAGAAAAAAGTAGTCGTGAACAGTTGCAATTAAAATTTAAATCTGCAGAGTTAGAGGCCCACACCTTCGCTTCAAACACGAAATCGTACCAAGTATTTTTTTTGTGTGTGTGTGTATGCGTGTGTATGCACAAGCACACTTGTGCACAAACACACACGCAGCTTGAAGGTGAAGAGCAGAACCCTGAGAGCATTAGAGGCTGTTGTTCTTTCTCTGGCATTCAGGCTGAGCATGTTTGCCCACGGCTCTGAGGAGCCGGGCCTCTGCTCTGAGAGGTGCTTGTGAAGGGGACAGGGTACCTGCTCCTTCGAAAGCAAAACAAATATAATACATTATCTGTGGCACTTCAAAACAAACAGCGTCACACGGCGTGTTCGCTCTGCACAAACGACTAATTACATGCAGTACAAGCCAGGATTAGTCATCCCTCAGACAAATTGCTCCTCTTTGTTTCCCCACATTAGAACCGAAAGCCTTGTCAGACTACCTGGCGACATGTGGAGACAAAAGCTGCCTCTTTTTTTATTTTTGTTATAATTATTTTTCAGGATTAAACCATGTCAGTTTGCAGCAAGCAAACAGCTAACGAGCTCGTGTAAATTAGTGACAGTGAAGGAGTAAATTAATACCTAGTAATGAGATCCAAGGGAAAGTTCAAACCTGCTTTATTTTCAGCTTGAGCAACACTGCCTCTCTGCGGTTTCATGTGGTACTGCAGCGATTGCGTGGCACTCCACTGGTGGTTTCAAGTGCTTTTCTCTTTGGGAAACATCAAGATTTCCGGACTGATTTGTACTTCTTAAAATCAAATTATATTTATTTTAGCATCATTTTGCACTGATGTAATTTGGTACAAAAATTATTTGTGACTTGTGAAATAATACCTAAGCCCACAACTTGAGATAAGCTCACAACTTCAACTTCTGACACGGCACTCTTGGCCCTCGCGCCTAGACTTTGAGGCAAGAGTTAAAATTGTCTTTAGAGTTTAAACAAATGTTATAATTTTTCTCATGTTTTGACTTGGATCAGATGTGCAGAGTTTCTATATGAGCATGAAAGCAAAAGTTATAAGGATTGGATCGATACTCACTTTCTTAGTTATTTGCGCACCTCTGCTATTTTTCCATTAAACAACCCTAAAAGAATTGCGTCGTTAGATTTATAGGCTGCATGATTCTCATGGCCTTGAGAATCAATTTGGAGTTTCTTATTTTAATATACCAACCGGTATGAAGCAGCACTTTCCACTGTCTGTTACTTAAAAGTTCAAGGTTTTCATGGGAGTTTATTTTCCTGTCACTGAACCGCACATGTATGTTCTTTGAATAATTTATTATGAAGCTAATAATTAGGAGAGGCCCATCATGTGATAGGTTGTCATGTTACATGTGTTCCTATAGGTGGAGCTGTTTTACAATGCAAAGGTTAAAGATGAGAAGAGGCGCAGTGATAGCTGACTATCATCCACGCCTTTTAAAAAGCAGAATCAAAATAATACATTATTTAAGGACTTCTTTTTTGCCTCAAAACACAGACTTTCTTAAGCTGCAAACTTTATGCAGAAAACATGAGCATGACCACATGCAAGCAGGCCTTTGTCAAACTCCTAAACTGTGCACTGTAACATCACCAGAACATCCTGCAAGATGTGGCCTACATTTAGAGGACGTTCCGTTTGATCCGCATTACAATAATATCACAGCCGTCCACCTGGGGGACACTGCCAGCCAGTTGGGAAACTGACCCACTTTCAAAAAAAGAAATCTGTTCGTCATGAGCAGAGGCAATAAGCCTCAGCTGATGATAAAGGACGCTGCAGAACGAGTGTGATCTCGAGTTGCACCGTAATTACATCTGGGTATCAGTGTTGAGAATTTTCATGATTCATTCAGCGCCAATTTAAATGAGACTCCGTTAAGCAACTACATTACAATATGGTGGAGTGGAAGTGGAGTCAAAAGCAAGACTTGGATGGTTTTATTTTTAGCTCCGTTTAGAAATTCCCACTCACTAAGGCTGCAAAATGGATCATTGGTGGCTTTTACAGATGGGCTTAGTCCCATCTGTGCAGCAGCAGCAGTATTTTATGGTGAAAGAATTTCAAGTAGTGGATCTAAAGCACTCAGTGCTGTCAGCTCCATCACCCTGGGGATGTCTGAGGCAGAGGCTTTTATCCAAGACGGCCTGGAAGCTTTTGGGAGGCTGGAGACATTACCCTACCAGTCAGAGTTTGCATTTATTCATGAAAAGAACTCCGTCGGCTGCAGAAACTTCAGAACCGATGGATTTTCCGACAAGCCTTTTACATAAGCCAGACTTAATAGCTTACGGCTTTCTGGTCGCCGCAAGATTAAAACATTTGGAGTCTGAACATGCTCAGAATTATCATGCTTTATTAATAAAGTTACAATGACATTTGATGTGGGCCGACAATGTTGCACTTTGCTCAGGCACAGAACAAGCCTTGTATGAACAATACACAAGCTGTACAGTGTAAAGCTCCACTCCGAAAGGGAACGGGTCAAGTGAGGGGACTTCACAGAAAAAACGGTGAACTCACATTAAAGCTTTGGCTGAAGGTTTAAGGTTTCTTTATGAACAGCAACACAAAACATTACAAATTAGCATCCACTTCCATTTCCTTGAAGTCTTAAATAAAAAAAACAAACAAAACAAAAAACTAAAAGATATCACAGGACATAACCATCTACTCAGATGATATGCTTATTAAATGTAAATAAATATATAAATAAAGAATAAATACTATTTGGTCACCATCAAGCTTCCATTTATGGTGACTATACAATGCAAAAATACCAGTGCTGAAACCAAAGCAGCTGCAATAATCTCATCAAGTGTTGAACAACAAAAAATAGACGTTCCCATGATACTCTTTTGCAAAGTGCTTCTAGTTCAAAGTTAGGCGTGAGCATGCATGTTTACAGCGATTACGCGTCTGGTCTACGGGCGACGCGGCGCAGCGAGTGCAATCCCATGATGCAACAGCCTCTTATCAGGGCCCCAATGTTGTAGACCGGAGGGTTTCCGTCCACACCGTGCCTCGCGTACAGCCAGGCAACAGTGGGCAGCACGGGGGCTGCCACCGCCACCAGGTCAACCAGGAAGCTGTTGCTCCAGTAACGCTTGTCCACCAGTTCTTGTCTCGTTGATTCGAGAGATTGGTCTTCCTGGGCGGTGAAGTCCAGCTCCTCTATGAACTGGCTGCTCTTCGTATTGTCTGAACAACCGGAATCAGCAGACGTGTTGGATTGATCCACCGTGGATGTGGGTAGCTTTGGGAGTTCCAGGGGACCTCTGGGAGGAGCTGTGTCCCCTAGTGATGATCCGTGGAGCTTCAGCAGCTGAAGTAGTAGAGCCTGCAGGTCTGCCGATATGGACGGAAAGTCGGTCTGAACTTCTTTGTCATCTGTGTTTTGGTGGCAAGGTGCGTTTGAAGACACAGTGACTGTGGACAAAAGTGCATTTTGCGGAGATGCTGGAGAAGATTCGTTTGCTAACCGTCTGTCTTCTGACGGCACAGGCCACCCGCCGCCTGTCTCCATTGGGAGCCCTTGCCTGCAACTGGAGTCCTGGCTGAAATCCGCTGCAGTCGACATGAAGACATGCCCAAAGATGTCCTCTCTGTTGGCCATCTCATCGTTCACCAGCAGCCCACTGTCTGCCATCGCCTCCGCTCCCGGATTCCCCATCTCCAGCCCTCCTTCCTCCTCACCCATCAGCTTCTTATCGTCCCCTTCAGGACCGTCGCACATGAAGTCCAAGGCACCTTCATCTTGGAGGGCAGAGCCACTTTGGGCCAGCTCCATGCTGTGCAGCAAGGACTCCAGCTTCCTGTTTTGGATATTGATATCAATGAAGTACTTCTGTATTCCCTTGTCTTTCTCCATCAGGCTGTTCTTCATGGTCTCCACCACCTGACGCAGCTGCCTGATCTCTTTGCGGGCCTCTTTGAGGGACAGCTGAGCCTCCACTCTGTGGCATTCTTCTTCAATCCAGTCTTCCCTCATTCTGCAAAGCTGGGACTTGAGCTCTTGGATCTCGTTCTCTCTGGTGAATTAGAAAGCACACAGTCAGAAATTATCCATTTTGAATGCAGCACATCATATACAGGACAGGACTTCCACAAGACATCCAGAATGTTTTCCTTACGCAATATCTCATTCCTAATTTATTTCTACTGAGTAGATGCTTGGATTGAGCTCCTACTCGGCAGTATTATGTCACCACCGCTTTTTCTTAAGTGGTTATCCAACCATTTTGGAACAAATGGCAAGAGACAGTTCCTTTTCACCAACATTACAAGTACAAAAGTGCAAGGATCAATTATTAATTAAAATTTGTTGCCAGATGCCAACAAAAGATAAGCAGGTTGGGACATATAAAGTCAATTTGTTGACTTAAGACACCATCTTTGTTTTTATTACCCATATAGTCGGGCAAATTGGAACAACGAAAACACATTTGCTTAATTGAAACATGCCAATTGAAAAATACAAAGCGAAACTCGCATTTGATTGAAATGTGAGTTCGCAAAACTGCAACAAAACGCTCGTTTTGCACGATCAGAGTTTATCACACAGGTCACGTGATCAACAACCAAATGTTACAACTACAAAGGTAAAAGGAGGTAGTTTGAGTTTGACAGCATGGTTTGATTTTTCATGATTTCTCACATGAACAAACTTATTCTCGTGTGATTTGAATTGTGCTCCTATGTAGTGGGGAAAAAGGCAAATGTGTCAATGTGGGGGTTTATCAAACTTTTGTAATAAAAACAGCAACTGAACAGATCTTGAACCATTTTCAACCAGACATATTAGGTTTCCCCATGGGGGATGCAGCTCAGACGGAACATTTTGTTCAGTCCTAAAAGTTTGAGCCAATGCCTGAATGATGATCCAGCGAGGTTACCGATTATCTTCTTAACTGAAACTTTTGCAAATCCAAATTTCTTGCCGAAGTAAAACTTGATTCCCACATATCCTCCACCTGTAAATGCAATGCTCTGCTGGCCTCGGCACAACTAATGAAATGTCAAAGTAGTCAAATTCAATGTATAAAAACAGTGGAGTATTTAATTGTGTGCCTCATGCAAAACTGAATCAGGTGCAGTTCTGAATGTCAGCTTGTTCAATTGCTACAACAAGTGACTTTTTAATTCTAATTATTGTAAATGGATCCACTTTTTCTGTGCGCATGCATGGTGGGGCTCTGTTGTCTTTTTTTATTAAAAAGAGGGTTCAGTCAGACAAGACAAAAATCAGATTTACCCTAAACAAGTTTCCTATGGATTTATGCATGCAACAATTGAGTAGTTTGTATCAAGATGGAGAAAAACTGTATATTTTAGCCAACATACACATACTTTGAAAGCATTAGCTTTAGTGCTAGTTAAGTTGCCATTTGCTCATAACAAATGGAAAAACTTAACCCACAATTAGACAAACCACATGTAGCGTGTATTTGATTGCAAAACCCAACTTCGGCCAATTTGTACGTTTCAACAGTGGGTGCTGTACAACCTGTCGTGGACTTTGTTCTCCGACTCCATCAGCTTGGTCTTCAGATGTCTGATGGCCACTTCCTTCTGCTGCAGCGGGGTCAGGTACTGCTCAGGGTTCGGGGGCCTGACACCGTGGTTGTCTCCGCAGGAGCGGTAGCGGCCCGAGCTGACTCTTCTGTCGAGCACAGAGACGATGACGGTGGTGAAACAGAACATTTACCTCTTCTGGAACAAACACCAGACATTTTAAAGCAGCAGCAGAAAAAAACTAAACCAAAACTGATGCTTAATATGCAAAGTGATTCTGCGGTACAGGTAATTAGTCTGAGTCCTGTCAGAGCAGATGCTCCCTGAAGCCTGAAATTACTGTTTGACACAGGATTGCTGAGAGTCTTGTCTTATGAGCACAAACTCCTTCATTTGTCTAAATATTTATATATAAAAATCTAATGTCCTCTGAGCGCTTTATGACATGCACATTTATTTAGGAAAAAAGATTCATGGATCTATGTTTCTTTTCCATGTTTTTTCTTTGGTGGAGTTGGACAAAGCAGCATGAAAGCCTCGCTCTCTGGCAATATCCTAGCAACCTGGAATACTTGCGGCTTTGATGCAAATGCTCTCCTGCCAGAAATAGAACAGCCAAGGAGAAGGCAACACTGGGGAGAAAAGGATGTCACATGACACACAGCCATACAGGCAGACCGACAAAAAAAAAAAGCTGACAAAGAAAAGGTTTTAAAGTGGCAGCAGTTTAGGATTTAGCTGCGAGTGCGAGATAGGGAAGAAGCCGTTTGAACAAAACCCTGAAAAGGCTTCGAGATGAACAGTTTAAGAACATTTAAGATATTTAGGTTATTTTTGTGTCCATGTACTGAGCAGCTTAAAGTACCAAGTTAAAAAAATAAAAATCAATGACGTAGAAAAAAAAAAAAATTCAGATCTGGATCGGCCCGAGTCAGCAGAGTGCCTGCTTTCACATTTGCACTACAAAGTGCTCACTAATCCCAGTCCGACTATATCAAATATAATCCCAGACATCTGAAAGGCAGGAAATGACAGACTGGTTTTAATCCCACCACCCACTCACTGACTGATTTTCAACCATTGTGCCTGTTTAGTTAAAACCTCAAATCCCCAAATCCGTCTTTTTCTCGCCCTCAGAGAAAGACTTCTGATAAATGTTAAGATAGAAATTTCATCAGGTCATAATCTTGACAGCATAAATTGCAACCAGAACCTTTTATTTCGCATCGGCAATTTAAAAATGCAATACGATTTGAACAAGCAATATGAAGGACAAGTACCTAGAAGAGGGACTGGAGTTGCAGCTGCTGCTGAGAGTCGAAGACGCAGCTCTGGGGGGAGTCCTGAAGGGGGCGTACAGTTCGGCGTCATGCTTCGAAGGCGAAACCCCGGCTGGTTTGAAAACCGGGAGCGTTCTGATGTGAGGGCCACGGCTTCAGAGTTTGGAGAAAGTGTTTTTGAAAAAAAAAAAGTTAAAAACTGGTAACTTCCTCCAGATATCAGAATGATACAAGGGGATCCAGTCAACATACCAGCGCGAAGAAACTTTCTTCCCAACTGAACTCGATGTGAGGATCTCCTTGGTCTTCAGGCTGCCTGTGCTGCTGGAGGAACTGAAATCTGCTTCGCTGCCTGCAGGGGGAGCCAGTGAGGTGTTAGCTTGCAAGCAGAGTTTAAAGATTTTGAAAACAGGAGTGAAAATTCTTTATGCTACTCTGTGACAGAAAATAGGGGAATTTTTTAGCAAAAGTTAGAAGACTGCCAAGTTCACTTGTTTCCTTCTGCAGATGTTTCTAAGACCATTGCACAATTTCCAACTTGGATCTTCAACTTCAAATTCAAACTGGAACATTTCACTTTGTGTAAAAAATAAATAAATAAAATTTAAAAAAAACACAGATTTCCAATCAAGCTTTTTTTTTTTAAATCAAGATAGTAATTTTCTCACTTGATACATCACCTGTTTATAAAAGAACCAGAAGCTATGATTCAAAACCATGTTTAGTTAGCAAGCTTTTAGTTAACATTTGCAGACAATTCACAAGAAATCACAAGAAATGATGCAACTTTTCTGGATACATCCAATTGGAGTCCAGTTTTATAGAGTCCAGTTCAGTTCAAATTGAATTTAAAATCATCCCAAGTTCCAGAACTACCCAATCTGATAATTAGATCATCGTCACATCACATAGATCTCCATTACAAAACAATGCAGTCACTTTCAGCTGATTGCAGCTGCTAAAAGGTGCAATCAGCTGCTGTAACTCAGCTGATTGAATCAAGTCATTAAGTGATGCATTTACTGCAAAAACAAAAGATTACCAAGTAATTTTCATCCAGTTTCCAGTTATTTCACACTTGAAGACAAAGTTAACCGACAAGTAGCTTTTCCCCGCTATATAGGAGTCCATTTTAAAACACTTTATTATTGATTAAAAACAGGACTTGTTCAATCATCTCTCTTACAACAAGATGCTTCCCCATCGTAAAATAAGTAACACTTCACAAGTACAAAGGAATTATTGACTTAAAAACATTTCTATATCTGGCTGAAAAGTAACTTGTAAGTTACTTAAAAGTCCACCAAGACTTCTGCAATATAAAAAGACTTGGGAAGAGTTTGCGTTTTTGCAGCATTCTGCCAAACTACAACCCAATTAGACAAAATGTTAAGCTTCATCATCGCTAAAATAAAGATCTGAGATCATGGAACAGTCAAAGTCCTACCTGATAAACATCTCTTCCCATCAAACGACACCATCGTAACGTGTCTAGTGACGACTGTGAAAACAAAACGTGACTCAAACTCGATGACTGTGACCCTTCACCACTTGGTGAGTCAACTGAGGCTCTGTGCACATTCCCTCCATGAAGTAACCTCCTGCTAATCAGACTAATTGGCTGAGCGCCTAAACTTTTCCTGCAGCCAATCAACTTTCTTCCTGCCTCTGAGTCATGATCAGGCACTTTTTTTCCCAGTCCCCCTTTTTCCTCTTTTATGTTGAGATTAGAAGGCCAGGAAATTTCATTTGGGGGTGAAAAGGGAGGACTGTTTCTGCTCAGTCTTTAAAATGCGCTCTGGTCTCTTTTTAGAAATAGACTTTAACCCTGCCAGTGTCTGCTGTGTGGTTGGGATTGCGACATGTGACTAGCGCTGCTACTGTACTTTTGTTTGTGTTGTTTGGTTTAACAGAAGCCTGTGGAGGAAAAAAAAAAAACTCTTAACGGAACAAATCTGTCTAAAGATAAAGAGAGGGGATTTATTTATTTGCTTTTATTTTATTTCTTTTTACACTTTTAAGAAAATAATAGAACATAACTTTCTATTAAGGCACATGTGTATTGACTCAGCAGTGCTGCATCATTAGATGATAAGTCACTTTTGAATGACTTATTATAACAAGAGTTTTCTCTTGTAACTGTTCATTTTGAACCATAAATGAATGACATAAAGAAATAAGTAAGTGGTTATTATAAATCTGGGAGAAAAAAATTCTGTTCTATGAACTTTTTCTTTTTTTTAAATAAAAAAACCCTACATTTTGTGACATCTTCTGCTTTACCTCGGGGTCTCGGGGCTGACCCCATCTCCCTCCTGTGCCTGGGCGCGCCGCGGGCCTCCCCGCCGCCGTCGGCCACCACCCTCACCCTCTTCGCTTTGGCTTTGCGCTCCGGCAGCATCGGGGACGCGTGGGCACTCCGCTCAGAGCCTGGCGGAGTTTTGGAGGGGGACACAGACTGACTAGTGGGGCAGCCGGTGTCATCTATTGTGGACAGGCACACAGAACATGCCAGGAACATGCGGGGCAGAACACGCAGCCAACACAAGCAGTCAGCAGCTACGTTTCCATCGCCGATGTGCGCAGACGTCAGTCGGTGTCACGCTTATGTCGAAAAAAGAAAGATTTTGCATTTGCGGAAACACGCTTGCTCACGCGAGAAGTCCTTCAAAGTTGTGGCAGCGATGGATGTAAACAGTTACATGTAAAATATTTGTAACTCAGCCTCTTCCTGAGACGCTGACATCTGCAAGAAAATCAACAAAACCAAACCAAACCTCTTACTACTTCCTGTCGTCTTCTTCGTCGTTTTTTTTTTTGTCAGCAGTAAGATCCGGTTGTTGGTCCAGTGATGTGAAACAAGCGTTTCCGTTGCACGGAAATACAACTGTTTCACTGGAAAAGTTCCTCATCATAACGCAAAAAACATTTTAGTGAGTTGTTTTTTTTTCCGTTAGACAATTTTGTTTCGTAATTTCAATTCACACATTTTCAATGGAAACGCAGCAGACACACACAGACACTCTCCGGTTTGCTCCTCAGCTCCCCAGGATAACATTTGAGTCAACATTAAAAAAAAATTAGTTGGCCAGGTCTGTTTTTTTTTTTTTTTAAAGTTGCATAACCCACTATAAAAATGTAATCAGACAAAAGATGCGTAATGCAATTTGACACCTGACATAACTGATTAAAGCATGTTTAATTCAGGATTTAAAGTCCTCACAATATGATTTATGCACTGACAAATTACTGTGAAAATCGCTAATCTTTGGCTGATCCTCAGGTTCGTCTTACCGGAGCAAAAGCTGTTGGTGCTGATTGTCCTCTTGGAGTGGTCCGAGCTCATGTCGCAGTCCTTCCCCTCCTCCTCGGACAGCAGGGAGTCAGACAGAGGTGAGCCTTTGTCCTTCAACCGGAAAGGATGGAGGACCAAACGTGGGATGCGGCTGCGGGGGCTTCCTTTCTCGGGTGACTTCTTTTCCTGTCGCAAACATTTGTCAGCATAAGAAGTCAAAATAAAAAAATTTGATTAAGTTACTTAAAGCTTTCTTTTGAAAATAACTAGGCGTGGTGATATTGTGATAATCTTGAAAGTTTTATCACGATATTTTCCAGTACTATCGTGATAACGCTAAAAGTGACAGTAACTATTTACTCATTCTTTTTCAACCAACCGTATGGCTGCGACCACACAGCCCAACAAACAACATTCGAAAAACATTTATTTCATGCTTCTTCAGGACACAAGTGACACAAGGAACTGTGATGTGTATCACTAAACTGCACACAACGATCGCATTTAATGATACTTTCAAATGTGTTGCTATTTTTGAAGCTCTCATCGAACAGTGGAGATGATAGTGAAACCACCAAACCCGCAAATATGGTCAGTTTAGTTTTTTTTTTTTCAAACATCATTAATTGAGATGTGTTGTGACAACGATAAATCAATTCTTATCATGAGAAGAACTTTATCGCAATAAATCCTAAACAATATGATAAAATCCCGACCCTATTCCAAACTGTTCAAAACCCAAAAAGTTTTTGCAATTTCTTTTATTTTTCAACTCTTTCCACAGATTCTCGATTGTATTTGAGTCCAGACTTTGACTTGATTTAAATCGTCCATTACAGTAAACAGAGGCCTGTGTTTTTGTCAGATTAAGTTAATCAAACTAACATTATTCATGTTTGTTGAACATGACAACTTAATAACCTTTGTAAATTCACTTGGACGAACTTCATTTGATTGCTTGTGGCCAGTTAGCACAATAAATTTAAGTTAAATCAACTGTTTTCTTTCTTCAGTGTATCGGTTTAGATCTTTCTTGTGAAGAACTATTTCTGACTTCAGGTGATGATTGATTAGTTAAACACTGGAATATTATTTTATACTTTCTCCCTAACATATCCACACACAGTAACTTAGATATTTATGACTGTCATTTTAACAAAATGTGAAATGGCTCAAGAGGTTTTTGTAGGTTATGTGACTACCATAGTTATACTTATCATTTGCACTGCCTCAAACAACCTTATTATACCTTATTATTGTCGAAGCTCTCATCAAAACACTCAAAAGCGAGAAGAGAAAACTCACCTCATATTCTTGGAATGGTCCCATTGCAGCGTTGTTCCCTAGTGAGAGGAAGGGAAAGCAAAAATCCAGAGATTTACTTTTGGTACCAAACATGTCCGTGGCAGCATTTTGACGTGGCACTGAGACTGCTCAAATACAAGAGTCCTCTGTCTGAACTCTGTTACGCCATTAAATCCCACCCTCAACACACACACACACACACATTTAGAAACACACACAAACACGGAGCCTGCCTGGTACAGATGGCACATGAATTCCTGACCTGGAAAGACACGTAAAAATCCAATCTAATATTGTATCTTTTTTTATTTAATTTTTTTTTAGTTTCTAACCCCAGTTGATTGAGGTGAAAAACAAAAAATGTAGAGATGCCATATTTTATTTTGTCCAGGTTGTTGAATAATTTTGGAAATGATTATGCTGAGTTTCACTCTGAGGTAAGGAGAAATGAATTTACAGAAAAAAAATCATGACCACAAACTTCAACATGTTTCCTGAAGGATTTATGTGACAGGTTGTAAAGTGAAAGGAAAAGAACATATTTTTAAAATTTTGTTTCTAAACTTGAAAAGTGTGGCATGCATTTTTATTTATCTGTCTCTTGGAAACCCAGTGGAATCAATCCGTAAATGACATTTATGTTTTACAATGGCCTAATCAAAGTTTGGACCTAAAGCCATTGGACATTTTCTACTGCGATTTGTCTCACTGAGCTATTTTGATAAATACATTGGGCCAAAAATAAAGATGTTGTATAAAAATGCAAAGCTGCTGTAAACAGAATAATGACATCTGTACCTACAGATTTTTTGTTGCAAAAACAAAATTATAATTTCACTTCCGCCTCACAATTATAAACTTTGTGCTCATCTGTCATCTGTCTTAAATCCCAACAAAACACGCTAAAGTTTGTGGTTACAATGTAAGAAAAATTAACACTTTGGTAAGGAATCTACTATTTGATTTCAGCTCTCTCAATAAACTTAAAAACTTCTTTCATAATTAAACAGGATTCAGAGTCACACACACTGTGATGGAGTTTGCAGAGCAGGAAAGGACTTGTGCAACAGTAAACCTTGGCTTTTGTTGTTGCACAATATTGAAGCATTTTTTTTTATTGATGCCATGGAAATAAATAATTCAGACCTTTATTCGTGCTTGGATAAACCTTTTACAGTCGCTTCACTTCCTCTGTCTTGTCGGTTGTGTAAGTGGGATGAGTTGCATAAGTGCATTTATATTTTTTCTACTTTTTTCCATAAGGAATGACCTCATTTACCTCCGAAGAGGAGGATTGTACAATTTGTAAACATATCAACTGATTTAAATGTTTTATTTTGTTGTTTTTTTTTTAATCCACCATTGACATTCAAGGTGAGAATGTTCTAAAATGATAATCTTTGTATTCCATTCTAGGTAACCCAGAATGATTCAAAATTATCCTTTTTTCCCCCCAAATCACGGAGGACCAAAGATGATTGCTAAAACGAGTCAGGGTGCCTGGGGAGTCCGAGCTCAGCTTGTTTTTAGAAACCGATTTAGGCGGCTTAAATCACTTGTGAGGCCCCACACCTCCTATTCTGGAGAAGCATCCTGCAGCGTGGCAACTCGGCAGAATGAGACTATAAGTACCAATGCTGAACAACAACCGCCTTGCCCTAGCAACACACTTAGCAACAGAGATGAATGAACGAATCAAGCGAGAGTGGAGCAGCTGAATCTACATTTCTGCACAGTGTTTTCATCCTGAGAGGCTATTCTTCCTTAAGAATAGATAAAAATGAATAGTTTTACCGACATATAATAGAGAGGTGCTTCTTACATACTTAATAATGATAGTAATTTTTAACAATTATGTAATGGTTGTACTAGCATTGGTGTAAAACCATATTTATATATGCATTTTTAGAACCACATCAGTAGATTCAGGGCATCACAGAAATATTAACTACTAAAGCAGTAGTATTATATATTTTCCATGCACATAGTGTAATTTTATAGCACAATAAAATAACTATGTTACCTTCAGTTGTTACACAAATGTCATATCAAATATGACTTAAAAGAAATTTGACTTTGTAACTTGACGTCTTGAAATTGGATCCCTGTCACTTTAAAAACTCAAGCCTTTTCTGAAACCCCGTCTTGAAGAATTCATCAAAAAATGGCTCCTCTATTAAACCTTTAGCCACTTTATTTTTTTATTTTTTTTTTACCAGCGTTTTACTTCAAGAGTAGCCCCTACAATGAGCTCAGCAGATGCACAGTTTCACCAGGTGTTTGCTAATTGCTGCTAGCTAGTCTGAAGGAGCTGAACCTGAATGTGCACCTCTGATGAGCAGCTGCGTCTGAAAGGCGTTGCTCGGTCCACCCAGGCATTTTGCACAGTTGAATGGTTGACATGGGAGATAAAAGGATTTCTCAAACATGCATGAAAGAATCAAGAAGACACAAAATAACATTAGGATGATGAAGCTCCTCCACTGTGAATGTTATCCTGATTAAACTGGTTCCAAATAAACCCCACTTTGCTCAGCCTTTTGTTTCTTCTTCTTTTCAACCATCTCATTGTCTTCAAAACCTCTCTGAGATTTTAGCATCTCAACCACCAAAAGTGTATATCAAATGTGTCGGTGAAACTCAATTCAACTCATTTCGACATCAAATTACTGCGTACTTTGATGTTGCAATGGCAAATTTAATTCAGCATCCAATCGGAACGTTTTGAATGGGAGGTGGAAGCGGAACGAATAATCCCTCATCACAAATTGCAGACAATCCAGAAAAAATCCGACTTCTTTAAAAGCTGTTGGTGTGGCTGTAACTCTTTAAGCCTCATCTGGTTGGTGTCCTTTCCAAATGGCATGGAGTGGGCGTCTGCATTAATTCCCTTAATCCATCCCAAAGCATGTTTTATAACGTCTATCTCTCCCGCTGACCAACGTGGAGCTGTTTACCCCGTTTCAACAGTGACCTCGTGACCCACTGCGCACCTTGCATAGACATGGTGGCGCATCATTTCAGATGGAACAATCGATCTGAATCACAACAAAAGAGAAAAAAAAACATAATAATCTGATCCCCTCAGCTCATCGACTCTCACCACACATCACTTCAACACTTCTGAAACCAATCAAACATGATCCACCAGAGGCAAGAGGGCTTTTGTTTACACTGTCACCACAGCCAGCAATTCACCCCCAATTTTTTTTTTTTTTTTTTTTTTTTGGGTACAGTTTGTCCCCAAAACCTCTCAGAGTCAGAGGCGGCCAGCAGCGCAAAACCCAGCCTAAAAAAATGTCATCATTTGCAGGATGAGGTGAGTCATCATCACACAGAAAAAGAACTGCGTGGACTCAAATGTGTTTACACAGCGCCCTTTGTTTACCGCCCCACACTCAACCCTCTCACAGAGTGTCATGTCGTCTTCTCACAAGCCCGATTGCTTTAACAATAAATAAATCGATTTAAAAAAAAAGAAAAGAAAAGAAAAGAAAAGGTGGCAGAATTTTTTTGGGGGGGTCTAAAAGAATATATATTTTTGTTTTGCTCCGTTTCGCCAGACACTCCCCACAGAGATTGTTTTTCTCTTGGTGCTCAGAGACGCATTCAGAAAAAAAAAGCACCAGAACAACTTCAGCCTCGACGGAGATACTGCAAAACACTTTCACTTAATGACGCATGTTAGTTTGATTTTCTTCTTCACAGAGCGAAAATGACCTGAAACGCCTACCGGAATGTTTGAAGCGGATGTTGTTGGGTTTTTTTTTCCCCCCTCTCAGCTGATGATGCACAAAAGGGGCTTGTTGCTCTTCTGCTGCTGATGCTGCTGATGGTGCTGCTGATGGTGCTGATGCTGTCGGCGCCAGCCGCGGCTCTGCCGGACGGATGCAGACTGGAGGGGCAGCTGAGCGCTTGCAAACTGTCGACACAAACCGACTGGGCGGTGATGATGATGATGATGATGACGGGGGCTCAGTGCGCCTGACTGTGTTACATAACAGCGTTACTTAACCAGCGAAATGGGGAGTTAGAGGAGGGGAAACTAGGCGGGATATGACAGGCCAAGTGGAAATGGCTCTGATGAGTCGTTTCACATTTTTAGCTGTAGATTTCTCACCGGGTTTCCTCTCGAAAAAGTAGGACCTTTGCTCGATCGTTTCTGTGCGCAAACTGAACTAATGGTTCATTTTTGACAAACTGGCGTTACAGCATCACAACTAATATCCACACAAAGAGTCTCAGGCTTTGTCGTGTGGAGCAGAGACAGGTCAGGTGAGAGCGCGTGTTCTCTCCATGGTGCTGAAGCTGATTGAGAGCCTCAAATTCAGGCATCTTTTTTTTTTTATGTCCGACTGACTCAAAGACTCGTCTCACTGTTAGCAATTCAAATGTTAGTGTGGCTCGATCTGGCTATTGCATAACGGGGTACAAGTTGTCAAACAGAGAAATAAGCAGCCATCTGCACACACACACACACAGAGACACACACTAATCAAACAGCTGCAACTGAAATTGTTCTACAAGTCTGTACAGATGAGGTACACAACTTACCAGTGGACAGCTCTGCCCCTGTCCTCACCAGAGTGCTAAGAGCACCTATGGGCACTGCTGTGCTTGACCATGGTGAGTATTTTTCCAGATATTAGACACACATCAGTCACATTTAGAAACTGGCTCTAAGCTATCTGCTTGGTCAATCTTGAATTGTGAGTGAGGAGGATCCTCTTAGACATACCATGTCTTGCCTTAATTGCTTGCTCTGCTCATAAGGAAAACATTTAACAACATCTAACAATTACATTATTTCTTTTTGACAGTTGAACTTAGTGACAAGCCTGATGCACTTAGCAGATCATCAGCCAAAATATATTATGTCTAATCTCACCTTATTTCTTTCCCTTTCCTCATGTTCTAACCCCCCCAATCCTCCAATCTCAGCCTCTTTTCTGTATGTTTATTAATCGCCCCTTTGAGAAATCTTCTGTTTACTCTTAACACTGCAGCATAAAGTGACTCCTGTCCAAAACATTTGCAATAGAGATTTCGTTTGCCTCGGTGATTGCATTGCAAGACCAGTTAATGTTTTTCTTCCAGTTTAGGTGCGTTTTGTCGCCCTCTCCTGGTCGTTTTTGAGTAAATTATTTTTTTCCCTCGTATTTTGATATGAAGCATATTGCAATAAAATAAAACATAATAAAAGTAGCAGCATATCATGACTGAACAGTTTGCCAGTCCTTTGTGGGACTTGAGTTAAGGTCAGATTTAAATTACGACCAGATCAGTTTTTCATCTCTTGAACAGAAACATTTTTGTACTCTTACCATAAAACATGGATTTAACTTCCTTCCATGCCTGGACTCAATGAAAAATGCCATGTCAATTTTAACTGTAAAAGTTAAATTCTTGTTAAATACTTTAGGCTATTCAGATAATAGTCAATAAATGTGAATATTAGTAAAAAGTTCATTTATTTCAGAAACTTTATCACTGATTGAACACATTATGTAGATTAATTGCACACCTGGATGTTTGTTATCCTTTATTTCTATTACGTGTGATGATTTCCCTCTAACAGATCATGAAAACATGACATTTAAAATTAGATTATTAACCAGTAAAAAACTTCAACTTTTAAATGTGAGCTTAATAAAACGTATGCATAATAACCTCTTAAGGCTATTATTTTCAAGAGGTACTTGATATGAATCTGACAAGATTCGTCAAGACATTCTCAATTATTGAGCATGACTGTCGAATCTGTGCTTTGAAACTGGCTGAACTGAGCTCATCCATTTTGTCCATTGCTATGTAATATATTTTTTATATGTATATGCTAAATGTGCAAATGGCAGAGAGACAGCTCATCTGTACATTAAAACTGTTTATACCACATTATTGGTTGCTATGCTAATTTAGCCTCAGCTTTCACAACAGTCTCTGCTAACATGGAGAAGCTGTATCCCAGCAGAGAGCCACTATGGGGGGAGTGGAGGTAAGCAACACGCACATGGACTGATTGACTGCGCTTGGATACGTCATGTCTGATTTCAGCAACAGTATTGTAGACTAAATGCTGACTGGTGGTGATAAAATGAATGGCTGTAACAGAACTGCTAAACTTTCAGAGGCCTTGTGATCCGTCATATATATTCCATAAGCATCACAGTGTTATAAATATAATATATTGTCATATGTTCCATAAGGTCGCTTTAGAAAAGCTCAAAATCGTGGAACTTCCCCAGATCACATGAACGCACCGTTTAGCTTCAGTCGTGAGTTCATCGTCTTCTTGTAATAGATTATGTCAACCACTAGATGTCGCCAGAGTCCTTCAATGTGTGATTGATACATTTAAACAGATATTTTTAAGCCTAAAAGTGTTTTGTTAACACATTAACAAACTCTCTGTGTTAATGTGTTTGTTAATGTGTTGAGGGAAAATAAATTCCGGCTGACCTTGGATCATATATATATATATATATATATATATATATATATATATATATATATATATATATATATATATATATATATATATATATATATATATATATATATATATATATATATATATATATATATATATATATATATATATATATATATATATATATATATATATATATTTAATTATTTGTTTGTTTATTGTTGGTTTGGTTTATTGTTTTTTTTTTTTTTTCTTTTCGACCATTTCTACCAGCGAGTAAACAAACTGAAATGTCAAGACACCTTTGCGCTTCGGAAGCGTCTCCGCTTCATGGTGAACCTCAGTTTGTTTTTGCGTGTAAAAAGAAAACCGTAATCTTATCAGATCAGATGAGGTTGGGATTGGGAGACTTTGCGATAAATCTGGACTCTGCGCGGACTTGCACTTTGGTTCTGCAGGATTGCAGACATGCCTCTGCTGATAAGACATGTGCTTTCAGTTTAGAGCTCAGAAAGGACAAGTTCGGTTTTGGAATAAGAATTACTTTCCTCGCGTTATTTGAGTCCCCCCCCCCCCCTTTCTCCTGTTCTTTTATTTTTTTGTGCAAGAGATTAGATTGCATGTTGACGCGATGACGCCCGACTTGTTTACTCCTCCGCGTCCTGTCTGTGTCACCTCTGGCGGTCCGCCGGCTACGGCCGCGGCTCCGTGGAGCTCTGTGACATGAAGATTGTTTAGGAAGCCCTGCATTTGAGCCACCATGTGGGCGTGTTTCTCTCAGGCCCAGCAGTCTCTCCGCTCTTGTGGGGAGTTCAGAGCGAGGAAAACGCATTTCTTCTGCTGCGACCGCAGAGCGCAAAAGGTGGGCGCTCTCCGACTCTGACGCGCACGACATCTTCTCCCAACCCCGGGGCTCCAGGCGCTTCACCAACAAGAGGGAGGTTTACAAAGAGAGAGAGAAAAAAAGAGGAACTCATCATCATCATCTAGCCATGGACGCATCTCGGTTCGCTGCGGTACATCTGGGCCTGCTCCTCGTTCTGTTTGGGAATGTACCGTGTTTCCAGTCTGCTGCTATCATCTCTCCCTCTGCGCCGAGGAGGAACCGGGAAGCCAGGACCTCTCATCCGCACGGACAAAGGTCGTCCAGGCTCTTCAGAGACATCATCGCCTCCTCGCATCCCGTGGCGGGACACCGCAGAGACGGAGAGGTCCCGAGGGACACCGTGGTCCCGCACGAGTACATGCTCTCCATATACAGGACGTATTCGGCGGCGGAGAAGCTCGGACTGAACGCGAGCTTCTTCCGCTCCTCAAAGTCTGCCAACACCATAACGAGTTTTGTGGACAAAGGAACAGGTTGGTTTTTGTTTGTTTGGGTTTTTTTTCCTCTCTTTTTCCCCCGGTTCTGCTCAGTCCTCTTGGAACCGCTTAGAGTAGGGTCAATATCCTTTTACGCACACTCCAGATGAAGCAGAAAAAAATAATAATACGGACGCACTTTACGCGCTCAAAATCTAGTCAAATGTTATTGAATTTTTAGACAGTGCACGGGGGCTTCAGGTTTATTTCGGTTCATGTGCAAACGGGTGATTCTTTGCCGCTTCTCGTCTCCTTTCTTTCGGACCGACTAACCCCAATTTAAATCCTCTGACTCCCGTGAAAACCGCAACAGTTTTTGCGGAGGGATAAACCGAACCGGCTGGATTCGGAGCGTCCGCGCAGCCCACCGATCTGATAGTATCATCACTGAGCATGCTAGAAACCAAACAAGAAGAAGACGAACTTCTGAAACCTATTAAATCACCGGATTCAGCTCCATCCAGATTTTACGCACGATGGAAAGCAGACAAAAGCACATTTTACGCGCTCAGATCGTGTGAAATATTGACATTTTTTAAATGAATTAAGCTATGGCTGCATTTTTTTTTTCATTTCTCAACTTTTTTTTTAGAGAGGACGAAGTTTAATTGGTTTTAAATGAACACTACAGTGAAGTAATAGCGGACTCTCTCTACGCTGTAAGTCGCTGTCAGCCTCCAATCACACATGTGAAAAAGGTTCATGTCTCCGTTTTTGTCGCTTCCTTCCTTCCTTCCTTCGCTTTTCCTAGTCTGACAAACCTTGAAACGGAGTCCAGCTCCCTCACCCCACACCGCAGCCATCACTTATTAAAACGTCCAATCTGTTGCCATTATGGTGCCCAGTGGAAGGCCAGCTTGTGCCAACAAAGGGGGTCCGGAGGGGCCCCGGGTTTGGGGTGGAGGTGGGGGGTCGGTGTGGGGGGAGGGGGGAGGGGGGCGCAGACCGCAGAACGGGTCGGTGTGAGCAGCAGGTGTTTTGAGTCAGTTGTACATGTGTAACCAAGTGATAGGAGCAGCTTGCGAGAGCAAACACAGTCCGGTCAACACAAACACACACATCGCAAAGCCAGGAGTTCATCTTTCAGGGCGAAATAAGAAATAAGTCTTCGGCAGAAACATCCCAACATCTTGATGTTACATGTGCGAGTCAATACTTTTATGTATGATGTATATATATAAAATTCAAACGTTTTCCAACCCGGTGGCAGAACCGAAAACACCAAGCCTGAAAGGTTCAACTTTCATTTTAACTCCAGCTCTGTGTGCGTATGTATGTGAGGAGGTGGCCCAGGAATGACGGTTAAATAAATAAATGTATTTCATCGTGGGGGCCCCTTTCGTCCCCCCCATTAGCTACGCAGCTGATTTTCAGCTTGATTTGCGCGTAAAAGATCTGATGGACGTTGTTGGTTTTCTGGCACTGAGACTTGGTTTGATTTATTTGTTAAGAGGAGTTGGGGGTGTGTGCTGGTTAAGGAGGGGGTGTCGGGGGGTAGTGGGGTGCGGGGGGGGGAGGGGGGGGGGTTGGACGTGTCAGGCTCTCTCTTGTGATTCTGATGTGATGTGTCAGTGGCTCTGACCCCGAGCTGGACCCTTCTGAGGGGCAGCTTGGCATCGGAACGGCTGACTGCGGTGTTTGAACTCGGTGATCTAATTGAGTGTTCATGTCATAACATATCAAACACTGTCTATTCTCCCGTAATGACCCAGCCAGGCCACGGCGGGCAGATCCCCGAAAAAAGAGGAGGAAGGGGAAAAGAAAGAAAGAAAGAAAGAAAGAAAGAAAGAAAGAAAAGAAAGAAAGAAAGAAAGAAAGAAAGAAAGAAAGAAAGAAAGAAAGAAAGAAAGAAAGAAAGAAAGAAAAAGAAAGAAAGAAAGAAAGAAAGAAAGAAAGAAAGAAAGAAAGAAAGAAAGGGGAAAATTAGAGCGCTTCCTCCTCTGTGAAGTGGTTTGGATTTTTTTTTCTCCCTTCTTGTTTTACTGCGGAACCTCCCTTTGCGAGAACCACTTTAATTACGGAAACTTAAGTTCTTGCAGCTCGAGCGCCTTTGGTTGCTTTTTGGTGTTGCTTTCAGCCAGCAAACCCCCTCGTCCTCCTCTCTCTCTCTCTCTCTCTCTCTCTCTCTCTCTCTCTCTCTCTCTCTCTCTCTCTGTCTCAGACCTCCCTCTAACCCCCCACTAAGCGTCGCGCTGACTCGGTTTGAAATCGCAGCAGCGTCACATTCTGGAGGAAAACAACCTGTGCGTCTTTTGCGCGTCATTTTATCCAAGCAGGAGCAGATATAAAAGCAAAAAATATATATATAGAAATTATAAAATACAAACAAAACCCCCCAGAAAACTGAGAGATCCATGTCTCTGTTTGCTTTAGCAATAAATAAATAAATAAATAAATAAGTGTAAAATCATATATTAAATAGATAAATCTGAGTAAGGGTGGGATCACTGTCTCATCATCGATCATTTAAAGGAGAGAGAGAGAAACTATCAGCCTTTGAGATTCAACCAACAGAATGAGGCTGAAGGATGCGGCAGGGCGCTTCAAATGACAAATCGAATAAAGCACAAAAAAACAACAAAAAAATAAGTTTTAAAATCAGACAAGGCTGACGACTCAAATAACCCAATCACTCACTCAGTCGATCACCGAGTCGTTCCGCGCTGGCGCACTTCGTTTTCAGCGGAATGTTGTCGTTGGCAGGCAGGAATGAAATGGAAGAGGGGAAGTGTTTTAATGAGGAGGATGGGAGCTGAGAACTGTTAATTATTTGGCAAACTTGTGTTCGATTTGTTCGAGTGCTTATAAAAGTAAAAAAAAAAATAAAAAATAAAGTAACGCGAACCAGACGGAGAAGAAGAAGGGGGGAAAAAAGAGTGAAAGGAGGCAGAAGGTTTCAATCTGCTTTTTACTGTCTGACTCGGCGGGCTTCACGGGACGGAATCTGACAGCCAGATTTATTTGGAAAAAAGTCTCGTCAAAGGTGCTCACTCAGACGACGTGACGTGGATATTGGGACGTAGAAGCATGTCAGCTTAAATTAGGACAAGGTTCAAATAAACAAATAGAGACAACCTGTCATTGAGAGGGGAGGAAAAACAGACAAATTAAGACGAATTTGACTAAATAAATCACACAATCAGGCACAACACACACACACACACACACACACACACACACACACACACACACACACACACACACACACATATATATATATATATATATATATATATATATATATATATATATAAACAGGCCGACTGCAGGTGAACAGTTGCGGAAATTAAAATAAAAGGCACGATTTTTCGATTTTCTTCTGGAGAAAACCGAAAAAAAAATGTTTTGTTCGAAATGCTCAGACTGTGTCCTATTTATGCTAAATGCTTCTCAGTTTCTCTCTCTCTCTGGTTTATATTCCAACATGTTCAGGCCAGACATGGGGAGGAGAATAACGTAATAATTGTTGAGCTGAGCGTGCAGTTGGTCTCCGTTGTGTCTAACAGGACCACAGGAAACCCTTTTTCCTAAAAACTGTATTTTAGGAAATATATTTATACACTGCTCAAAAAAATAAAGGGGAACACTCAAATAACACATCCTAGATCTGAATGAATGAAATAAATATGAAAATAATTTCCACCTGTTGCCTATTCCATTTGCACAACAGCAGGTGATATTGATTGTGAATCAGTGTTGCTTTCTAAGTGAACAGTTTGATTTCACAGAAGTTTGATTTACTTGGAGTTATATTGTGTTATTTGAGCGTTCCCTTTATTTTTTTGTTATAAAAAAATGAAGATATATATATATATATATATATATATATATATATATATATATATATATATATATATATATATATATACACATACAGGACAGGATTCTTTTTTTTAATGGTTTTATTTCCTCTCCGCTACAAAGGTAGACACACACACACAAAAAAAAAATCTGATTCGAATAATTTCCGAATCTGTTTTGTTGTTTTTTCGTTTTCTTTCGTTTTTTTTTACTGTTTTGAAAACTTGAGAGCTGTTTTGTTGCTCGGGCCTAAAACGTCACCGCGATCAAGCTTCACATCAACAATAATAAAAAAAAACCTGTGAATCTGTTACATCATAGCGCTCATTCACTGACAGCAGCATTTGGCATCGGCTTTGTTGCTGGTTAACGAGTTAAAAGTTGTTGTTTTTGTTTTTTGTTTTTGCCAGCAACAAGTTGACAAAGATTCGGCAAGATTTCATATCTACATATGAAATGTTGCTTGCAAGATGGAATACATTCGGTCATATTTAAAATATCTCAGCAATCTTCAGCGAAAAGTAAGTAAATGCAAGAAATACAATAAAGAAATGGTTGTTACCAACAGCAACATGTATCCAATACTGAGGCTTTCATTTACAAAGTAATGTGCTTGGTTTCATTTCAGTATTATTTGTTGCCTGTTTGATACCATCTAAAGCTTTTATTATTATTATTATTATTGTTTTTTTACAGAGCAGCTTGTTGAATCAGACTTCAACACTGAATTGGTTCATGACATGTTACAACCTTTATTTAAAACGTAAAGGTTGTAATATCTCATGAACCAGTTCTGATGGATGTGAACCATTATTAAGCATCACATCTGCAGGCTAGACTATTATGGGATTTTTAAAATCATTTCATTGACAAATTATTTCGCTTTTTTCAGTGTGATTTAGTAACAAGCTGGGCGTTACTATTAGCAACGTTTTAACTACAGTTGTTCTCTCTTTTTATTGCTGTTCTTGTCAGTAACAAATGAGAATCTTTCTGTGGTTTTATTCTTATCGTCTGGAAACCCAGCCTCGGCGTTTCTAAAGCAACATCTACCCCTTAAAATCAGGAGCAAACGACGTTTCTTTAAAGGCCTTTAACCTTTTTTTAACACCTGGAATAATGCTTCGTTGAAAATATCGGTTGTTTTGTCATCGCTGGATAGGTCCAAAAAAAAAAAAATCTCACTTCAAGAGCAACTCTCCATCCAAACACGCTGGGATTTATTTATTTTTTTATTTTATTAAAAGTGGTACGCCTTTAAAAATAAATCATTTAAAAAATATATCATCAGATGTGTCGGTGTGTGGAGTTTTTCCTAAAACAAAACAAAACAAAACACACACGCAGTCAGGAACAACCGGACAAACGCGCACTTTACTTTACGCAACGCGCAAGATTTATGCGAAACAGTCATTCCTTTCGTTCTCCTTCTCTCCTTTTTTTTGTTTCCTTTTTCCAAAAAAAAAAAAAAAAAGATTGCTAAGGCAGCACTGCGAGGCGTTAACGGGCATCTTAATTGCATCATTATAGGATAAATTTATTATGAGGGGGAATGTGGATTAGAAATAGACGGAGACATTAATCATGTTTCTGCAGCGGGTTTCGCCTTTCTTCTCCAAACAGCTTGTCAGCTGAAGTTTGTGTGAGGCTCATGGTGGACGTTTGAAAAACAAGAGAGAGAGAGAGAGAGAGAGAGAGAGAGAGAGAGAGAAGGCCTCTGTGGGAGAATGTGACCACCCCCCCAACACACGCACACGCGCACGCACACACACACGCACACGCACACACACACACACACACCACCTCTCTCTGAACACTGTACACTCTAAGTGAATATGACCTCAATTATTTGCTTCTTTTCTCCTTGCAGACAATCTTTTGCACTCTCCTCTGAGAAGACAGAAGTATCTGTTTGATGTCTCGACCCTGTCCGAGAAAGAGGAGCTGGTCGGAGCCGAATTAAGGATATTTAGGAAAGCTTTGGGGGTCCCTCAGGCGGCGGGGCCCTTCCACCTCCAGCTCTACCCGTGCCGCTCCGACACGCCGCTGGACTCCAGGTCTCTGGACGCCGCGGACTCCGCCGAGGCCGGCGGCTGGGAGGTCCTGGACGTGTGGGACGCGTTTCAGACGCAGCGCCAGCACCGGGGCCAGCTCTGCTTCCAGCTCCGGGCCGCGCACGGCAAGTCCGGCGACGAGGTGGACCTGAGGCGGCTGGGCCTGGACAGGAGCGGCCGCGGGCAGCAGGAGAAGGCCATCCTGGTGGCCTACACCCGCTCCAGGAAGAGGGAGAACCTGTTCAGCGAGATGAAGGAGAAGATCAAGTCGCGGCGGTCGGCCGAGGAGAAGCCGGCGAGGGCCGAGGGGCCGGGCGAGGGGCCCCCGCGGCGGCGCCGGCGGACGGCGCCGAACAACCGGCACGGGAAGCGGCACGGGAAGAAGTCCAAGTACAGGTGCAGCAAAAAGGCTCTGCACGTGAACTTCAAGGAGCTGGGCTGGGACGACTGGATCATCGCCCCGCTGGGCTACGAGGCATACCACTGCGAGGGCGTGTGCGACTTCCCGCTGCGCTCGCACCTGGAGCCCACCAACCACGCCATCATCCAGACCCTCATGAACTCCATGGACCCCAACAGCACCCCGCCCAGCTGCTGCGTGCCCACCAAGCTCAGCCCCATCAGCATCCTGTTCACGGACTCGGGCAACAACGTGGTGTACAAGCAGTACGAGGAGATGGTGGTGGAGCAGTGCGGCTGCAGGTAGCGGCGTGTCGGAGGAGAAAACGAAAAGACCGATTTATGGTCGAACGGAAGTGCTGACGGCTCCGTGGACGTGGACAGATCAGCTCCTCACAGGGTCTGGAGCGTTTTAGTCCAAATGACTGGATGCCCCCCCTCCGCCCCCCCAACCCCCACCCGTATATCTCCCACCTCCACCCAACTTCATTGTTATTTATTCAAACTGAAACACTAAAAGCATCCAGCACATTTATTCTCATCCACGCAGGGACCTTTAAAAAAATCGTACCAGGCCAGGCGGAATGCCCAGGAGGTTTTGGGCGCAAAGCAGCAAATAGACGCAGCGCGCGCTCTGCGTGGCTGCGGGCCAGAAAGGAGCCTGTTGATCTGGGAGCGCCGCGCCTCCACCACCAACACACACATAAACTGGAGACATTACAGGCTCGGGACAGAGCCTGATTTCACCAAATAAATGAATAAATAAAATAAAAGAGGAAGAAAGAAATCAGTGAACACATGAGGTGAATGTCTAATGTACCAAACCCAGAAACGTGGATCTGTATGTGAGGAGATAAAGATGGTGGTGATGCCTTCAAGAGATTTTATTTTTATTTTTTTATTTTTTTTTTGCCTCGAAAGGACCCGGATAAGATCTGTGCCTCTCCTGGGACCTGACGGATGGAAAAGATTTTTTTTTTTCTTTTGGAAAAGCACAGGAAACTGGGGCGGATTTTTCTCTCTCTTGTTTTTTGTTGTGTGTTTTTTGCCGCTCAAAAGTCTGCATCTTTACGCAATGCACTTCCACAACTTCATGCGTCATGCAAGGACAAGTGGTTCAGAGAGAGAGAAGAGAAGAAAAAATAAATAAAAGACTCGCCAATCGAGACTATATTTAAATGCACATTAGCTTCGAATGCACTGCTGTTCATTCCCCCCATCCCCCCTGTCTATCTCTGAGCTGTAAATATTTTGTACAGTCGAAAGAAGAAGAAGAAGAAAAAAACTTTACAAAGTGCTGCGAATGAAGAGACGCTCGAAAGGCGTTTCTTTGTAAATGTAAAAAAAGAGAAGAAAAACTGCACTCAAATCGGTAAAAACAAAATGTCTATTCTATAATTATTTTTATTATTTGTGATGTACAGAGTTCCATGATAATCATATATTTCTTACGTCGTTACAAAAAAAGAGAGTAATTTAAGGTGTCTTCGATATATTTTGCAAAGGGTGGAAAGTACTATTATTAATATCTATCTACCTCATTATTGCATATAGGATCCGAGTTTGAGGTGCATTCAGTTAAAGTGTAAAGAGCTTTTACAATGATATATATATGAGATCATTTATATAACATATATTACTGGATACTACTCCACACCATTACTGTACAAATAAAATTCCAAACAAAGTCTGGAATTTCTGGTGAGTTCCGCCTGTTTGTGTTTATTTCACTGGGTTCATGTTCGGACATTTGGACCTCTAATGAATGTCTTTAAAAAAAAAAAAAAAAAAAAAAAAGACTTGTTCGCATTTTGTCGCGATGCCCGCACACTTCATTGGGTTTTATGAGACAGGCCAAATCACGAGTACAGTCTGATAACAGTGGGCGATACTGGGAATTTTGCATCGATCCAATAACCAAGTAAACGCAGGGCCATATCGGCGATATCAATGTGACAATAAAAAAATACTTTAGAGGGCTGACAAATCACAATACAACAAAATGAACACACAATAAATAAACAGTGTTAAAGACATCCTGTTTTTCAAGTCAAACAACACAAGAAAGTAATGCAAAGAGTAAGGAATTTATTCCCTTCTGGCTTGAAACAAAATAAAAATCAATAAGTGATAATTAAATAAAGATAGAATATGTTGTATTAAGATCGATCCCCTCACCTCTAATTTCTACTGTCGAAAACCAGGAAGAAGACAAAAGGAAGTAGAGGGATTGTGTTGCTTTTATTCAGTCAATTCCACCATTCCTCTCACAGCATTTCACAGTTCATGAAAAAGTTGCTCAAATGTGCTGAATCCTCGACTCTTCTGTAAAATGACAGACTACAATTTCCCCAAAACGCCCCCCAGGTATAAAGGCGCTTGTCTCCTCTGATGGCTGATAGATGATGAATGAATTATAATTATATGTCACGTAACTGTTTACCTCCGTTGGATGAATGTTAGGGTGCCATTCATCCAAGAATGGATGTAGCTCTGGCGGATATTCAGGATCTTTCTGAAACCTCTTGCTCTGGTCTCAGTTTTCTCTGAAGCAGCAAACAGGTTTTCTTCCAGGAATCCTCTGTATTTGGAGCTCCCTCTATCTTCCCATCGAACTACACCATCTTCCCTGTAGACCCTGGAGATTCCCACAGAATCATAAGGCCATGACCGTGTTTCACCTTAGAGATGGTGTTTTCATATGATGTGGAGGACTATTTTCACCTGTTTTAAATGTCATCAGCCCATAAGTGAAACACACAAAAAAGTCTCCTGGTTTTAGATGCTGGTTAAGCTGCATATTATCAGTGACAAGAATGGTAGATAAGTACCTATACTAGGATGTAGAGGAGACACTAATGTCTGGGACTGATAATTGCTAGTCGTGTCCATTTAATGTGCTGATAACATCGAAAGCGGGTGCCATTCTTGTCATGTTTGCATGTAGGACAAACGTGTTAAAGTTCTTCATCTACTTCTTCTCATGTTCTCCTTCATGCACATACTCTCTGTGTCGGCTTAGGCGGTGCAACGTCGCCGCAACTTTCTGTTTGCTGTGCACCTTCCTGATGCTGCACTGTTCCAGATTTGGATTTGGAAGAGGTTAAATTCTAATTCTAATGAAACACATTAAAGTTTGTGTTTCTTGTAATGTGGCAAAAAAAAAAAAAAAAAGACATGTGGAAAAGTTCAAAGGATTATGAATTTGTTTGCAAGGAACCAAGACAAACTAGCATCTTGATTCCTAAAAGATTCCTCCAAGCTGACTCTCCAATCAGCTTGGAGAGTCCATTCTCACTGAAATAACACTAAATCATTTCACTTTTATGCAGCTTCCAGTGCAAATCTCTCCGTATGAATTAATTATAATTATACTTGTGATGGGACAAAACTAAAGGTGACACTTTATTTGACGGGGTTGTGCTTAAGACTGACATGACACAGTCATAAATTTGACTTAGCACGAGTCATGAACATGAAAAAGTCTTTATGGATGTTTATAACTGTCGTCATTTGGTAAATAATAACAAATTAAATTACCATCTTTACATTAAAGTGACATTATTGACCAAATAACAACACAGCTGGATGCTTGCTAATTGCTGCTGGCTAGTCTGCAGGAGCTGAGCGGAGTGTTGTGGTGGAGGGTGGGAGGGTGAGACTGAAGCTTCGCCTCGAAGGTGATGCTAAGTTCAACTGCAAGTTTTGCACAGTCGAAGGGTTGTCATGGAGATTAAAGGATGTCTCAAACAAGCATGAAAGAATCAAAGCAACACTCCAAGTATGTTTTTATTTTTATGAAGAAATAACATTATAACATGATGTAAAGGCCAAACGCTACATAATATTGATAAAAAAAAAAAGAAAAAAGAGATTTTTTTCATTAATAACATGGAAAAAATATTTTGCAATCAGGAAAACAGTCTGCCAGTGGATCAAGTACTTTATATCTATATTCAATAGTAACTGGCTTAAATCTAGCTCCTATATCTTGTGGAAGAGTTACTTTTTAGGTTAGTTTTGTTGTATTTATTATTATTTGCGCTATATTGGTGTTTTCCCAGCACTCCTGAAAAGGTCCACAATGCGTCTGCCCCGGGATCAGACTCATCCTGTTGTCACCCCTTAGCAAACGCGCTCTCATCATAGCCCAACAAATGCAATTACCCAGCGCCTGGATGTTTCGGAGGCCGCGGCTTGCGGAAACCGCATCAGCATATGGTGTCCATCGGACCCAGGGAGGAAATCCACAGGACTGGCTGTCACTGATACGGCACCGAGCGCAGGAATCCTGACTCTTTCCCAATGAATCCAACCCGGCTGGGTCAAGTTTACTTAACACTTTAATGCTTCCCAATCTGGAGATGAAAACAACACAAAACTGGGGGGTTGTGAGGGGAAGGGGTGTTTGGGACGGGGTGCGAGGGGGGACATCTCCCCATAAAAGCAGCGACCTTGGCCTGGAAGCAATTAGGAAATTGCTTTGATATGTTATATGCTGTCCAGACTCTTGTACAGTATCATGTCACTGCTCACGTGTTTGTCAGAGGAGGGGAGGTGGCGGATGCTCAGTGCACTCTTTAGCAGTCCATTCATATGGCAACCCTCACCTTCCAACAGATTCCTTTGAGAGTCCGAGGAGCGGAGGAATCCTCAGCCGACTCTTCGTTACTCAGCAATGCGGCGATGTCACCTCAACAGGTCTCCAAGCAAGCGGCCAACGAGTGGAGTAAACCTTTGCTTTAAGATTTATTTTTATTTGACAAGCTCGCCGCTCTGCTGGGCACTGGCCTGGAGGTGAGGCTGCGTGTTGAGGGAACAGTTAAATGGTGATGAAAGGGAAAGGAATGCTTTGTTTACCAGCTTCAATCCCTCACTCTTAAGCCCAATGTTCCAATAAAGTTCTTCATCCCGGCTCCCTTATTGTCCCTCCATTGAACACTGAGCCGGAGTCAGGGAGAGAGCGAGAGGAGGCGAAAAAAAAGTGTTGTGTTTATTTGAAAGGCGGCCCTAACATATATTAGTCCAGAGTTAACCAAAATTGGCAACGAGAGGGGTCCTTTTCATCAGGAACAGGGAGAAATGTGGGGAATGTATAACACAAATAGTCTTGACACCCCACATCTGTGTGTGGAGGCTGCTCTTCAGAGGAACTGTGGAAGCTGCTCCAAGGCGTGGATCTGCGGAGCGGTGGAAAAGTATTTGCCCCTTTCCAGATTTCTTTGTTTTTGCTTCTGTCACCCCAAAATGTTTTAGATGATCAAACTAAATTATGCACCAGACAAAAGACGGACTGAGAATATGTAGAATTCAGTTTGGAAGTCATTATTTTTATTTGCTGTGGGAAAGGGGAAGCTGTCCAAAGCAGCCTGGTACTAAAAGTAACAAATTATTTGTGAGTTACCACATAGTTAAAGGAGTGGCAATATGTAAAATTGACGTTTTTGA